AAATACAAAGGAACACAGAAAAATCACAACCTACACACAAAATCAACCCTAAACACAAAACAAAGCCCTTCTCACAGCTGGACAAAAGCGCTGAAACCACGACCACAGCACAATAGGCCGACCACCTATTCGGATTGGATCTCGCCCCTAGTCTTAGAACCAGAAACTGCAACGCCTGCCTAACTAGAACCAAAACCCACGAACTCGAAACCACATCCAGGCGACCAACCCCACCTCTTAGTCGAAGGAAATGATTAGCTATATTTATTCATCTATATTCGATGTTAAATGAATTATGTTGTGACGAAAAAAATATATTATAAATAAAATTATATTCTACTTTATTCGTTCTAACAAAATTTAGTAAAATAGTGTATATAACCTATGGTAAATAGTTATAAATATAGTAATATATTGTTGAATAGTTTTTTAATTCAATTCTAGTAATTTTCAAAATTATTATAATTAAACAAAATATTTTTCTTATGATTTTAAAGAAGGTTAATGAATTTTTACGTAAATGTCGATTTGTATAATTACAAAGATTGTTCAATTAATACATATTGAAAATCAAATCAACCAATAAATAAATTATAAAAAATTCTTTCCAAAAATATAGAAAATATTTAAAAGGGAGAAAAAAAAATGTAAAAAATTAATACCACGGAGTTATCATTTTTAGTAACTATTTTTTTAATAAAAAAACTTTATATAGTAAATGCTTTTATTAACCTTTATATATAGATCTCCCTATCCCCAAATAATAAAAAAAAATGGAAACAAACACCCTTTTTGTCATTTCACAATTAGGTTTAAATTTTCAAACGCTCGCATGAGATTTGTACCTCAACGGTCACATTAGCAAATTTATAACGTCTCTGAAACACAAATCTCTCAAACACACACACACACACACACACTCTCTCTCTCTCTCTCACACCTTCCCACACTCCATCTCTGCAGATCAATTTCTACACAGTCGCTTTTGTTGATTCCATCCATGGCGAGGCCCAATTCCAGAATCTCCGATAGCAGCAGGTTCATGGAGAGCATCTCCGCCTCAGTGCCTTTCAAGAGTCTGCTCTCGAAAGCGAAGCAGAAGTCGATCTCAAATCGCCGCTCGAAAATCAGGTCGGACGGTGAGAACATAGCTCCCATCGATCCCAACATTCAAATTCGCGATCCTCCTCTTTCTGCCTCGATCTCGTTGCCCAAAAAATCGCCTTCCAAGGTTAAAGTTAGTCCTATAACAGAGGATCTTACTGCATCCGTAGTGTCTGAGAAAGTACCAGAAGGTCACGATCCTCCAGTGAAGGTACTCTGGTGTAATTATTTTTATTAATCTATGTGAAATTCAATCGTGGATTTTGTTGAAGCTTAAGTTTTTATGGAAGTTCTGATGGTCTGGACTCTGGAGTTGGGCTTTTATTATACTTTTGGAACCCTATAAAGACGAGATCGTTGAATTTAGTTACTTTAGAAGTGTAGAGTGTGTACTAATATGAAGTTTCTGATTATTAATATCTGGATAGGTTGTGGTGAGGATTGGAACAGAAAATGGCCTTGGAATTGGTGAAACCTCGGTCAGCAAAGTTTCAAAGAATTCTCTATGTGTTGCTGGCTTAAATTACACATTTGATTCAGTATTTGAATCGGCGTCGACACAGGTTCGGTACTTTTCACTCTAGCTCGAAGAGAATTTTTCGGACTTAAGTTAATCAGAATATGTGTTTTTCTCTATTATGTTGTGATTCAATGTGCACGATTATCAAACTGATCTGCGTTGTTCTTGTATGGTTGTAGGAGGATGTTTACAAATCAGTAGGTGTTCCCTTGGTTAAGGATGCACTTGCTGGTTATAATACAACAATCCTGGCTTATGGACAGGTAATTCGGGATACTTTAATCTAATAAAACTCTTGCATTTTTTTTGAATTGTGTATTTTGGATTTTGAATTGATTTCTGCTTTGTAAAATGTTTAGACTGGTAGTGGGAAGACATACACAATGTGGGGACCTCCAAGCGCCATGGTTGGAGGTCCATCAGTCAATGGTCCTCAGGGTATAGTGCCACGCATTTTCCAGAAGCTTTTCTCAGAAATTCAAAAGGTAGATTATGATCTTCTTGATGAGGTCTTTCATTAGTGAGATTTTGATGTGTAATTTCTGGGGTATGTTCTAATTGATTCTATTATGATTGCACAGGAGCAAGAGGATCCTGATGGAAGAATAATAAATTATCAGTGCCGGTGTTCGTTTCTTGAGGTGATTCTGTCTTCCTTGAGCAAGGGCCTGGACATTTTATTTTATTTTATTTTTATTACTATTGCATGACTTGACTTAATTATTGATGTATCGGTCGCGTAGGTGTATGATGAGAAAATCAGTGACCTACTTGATCCAACACAACGGGATTTAGAGGTTAATTTTATGTCTCCTTTTTGAAAATAGCTAACTAACTCATGTGGATGTAGTAGATATGTATTTTCATGCGAGATTTATGTGGATATTGTTTTTGGGTCAACCATTTCAGATAAAGGATGATGTGAAAAATGGATTTTACGTAGAGAATTTGACTGAGGAATATGTATCATGCTACGAGGATGTCACTCAAATTTTAGTTAAGGTACCGAAAGGAGTAACCATTGTCTTAATTTTGTCATTTTTTATATGGTTATTCTAAATACCGCATTATATTACAGGGCCTATCAAATAGAAAAACTGGAACAACAAGAATCAACTCCAAGAGCTCAAGATCCCATATTATGTTCACATGCATAATCGAGTCTTGGTGCAAGGTATAGTCAGCAACGCCCACGACATTCCACTGTGCTGCAAGCACAAAATTCAGAAATAATATTGTAAAAGAAAAAAAGAGAAGAAAAGGAGAGAATGGGAATGAACTAGATACTTCACGATTATCATGACAAGTTTTTGGATATGGATCTTTTTCATGAGGAGTATATCATCCCCTTGGAGACTTCTATAATGTTGTGGTGCATACCGAATAGAAATTGACTTACTACAAAATTTGTTCTGCATATTCCTACTATCATTTGAAATCTTTATATACAATTTGTATCTTTTTCCAAATATTATCTTACAGGAGTCCTCGTCAAAGTGCTTTGGTATTTCAAAGATTAGTCGGATTAGTCTTGTCGATTTGGCTGGATTCGAGAGACACATACTTGAGAATGCTAGCAGACAGCATGTGAAAGAAGGAAAATATATTAAGAAGTCAACATCACAGATTGGGTAAGTCCTTGTGCATGTTTGGAATTGTTCGTTTCCCATGTCTTCAAGTTTTCGCTTTCTTTCTCTCAAAATATTTTCGAATTTTGCTCTTAATGTTGGACATCTTACTGTGCCTATATTATTTTAGTTAGTTGGCTCTGTATGCAATCATGATGCTGTTATTTTTCTTTGGCAAAGAGTTTATAATGCTGTACCCTCCACAGGCGCTTGGTAAATATTCTTGCAGAACGAAGTCAATCAGGTAAATCGGAAGACATTCCATACAGAAGTTCCCGTCTGACACATGTGTTGAGAGAATCGTTTGGTGGCAACGCTAAGCTCTCTGTTATATGCACCATTTCTCCAAACAACAAGTATTGACTTGACTTCTCTCTTTATTGTTTTGTACATTGGATATTTTAGATGTAAAGTATCATTTCAATAGGTGTCGCTGATAAGTTCAGTAGTTTAATTAGTCATGCTTTGTTATTATTGAAAGCATTTATAGATTGAGCATTCTTTCACTATTTTCTATTTTCAATTGTGAAAACAGTAAGAAGCCTCAGATTATTTCCTTAGAAAACTTTGAACCATTACTTAGATTTGTGAAGAGAATATTTTCTATTATTATAACAGCCTGCCGTGAATACAAACTATCATTTCAATAGGTGTCGCTGATAAGTTCAGTAGTTTAACTCTAGTCATGGCTTTGTTATTATTGAAAACATTTATAGATTGAGCATTCTTTCACTATTTTCTATTTTCAATTGTGAAAACAGTTAGCAGCCTATTTCCTTAGAAAACTTTACTTAGATTTGAGAAGAGAATATTTTCCACTATTATAACAGCCTGCCGTGAATACAAACTATTATGCTACTTTATGGATTGTGCACTTTTATATGACTGTTCACAAGCAGGTGTAGTAGTGAAACACTAAGCACTCTGAGATTTGGCTTGCGGGCAAAACTGATGAAGAATGAACCCGTGGTGAACGAAATAACAGAGGACGATGTTAATGATTTAAGTGACCAGATTCGGCAGCTGAAGGTATCATTCATTGATTTGTCCAAACAGATGAACTTTTATTTGAACAAGTGACTTAATCTCAAATGGTCACTTTGACCAATGCAGGAAGAACTCATGAAGGCTAGGTCCAGCACATCCAACTCTCTTAGCAGCAACAACCATGGATATTTCCAAAGGGGAAATGTGCGCGCGAGCCTGAACCAGCTGAGACTGAGCCTCAATCGTTCGCTTATATTACCACGAGTAGAAAATGATTCTGAGGAAAATTTGCACATTAACGAGGATGAAGTTAAGGAATTAAAGCTTCACATTGATAACTTACGTGCCTCTCATGAAGACAACATGAAGGAAGACTCAGAGTATGGAGAGAATACGTTATTGTATTCTGCAGAAGGTTGTGAGACAGAATATACTTGTGAACATTATCTGAGTTGTTCCGAAGAAAGCGAAAATGAAGAAATCAATGCGAGCACAAAAAGTTCGATTGCTGTACATATTCCACCGAGTACGGCCCTTCTAGAACCTATGTTATCGGAATCTCCTAAAATAAATAATTTTCAGAGGAAAAGCCTAGTTTTCCAGTCATCGAACCACGAGAGTAACAACGGAGGTCCTTGCAAAAACGTGGAAGTGATTCGGCAATCACAGCAATCAGATGTCCTTAAATCCTCCTTGAGATCTAGTAAGATATTTGAGGGCGCTACCGAGTCCTTGGAGGCTAGTCTACACAGAGGGCAACAGATCATCGATTCGGCCCCAGCTAGATCATCCGTGTCATTCTCTTTCGAGCACTTGGCTCTCAAACCGTGTCTGAAAGCCGACAAGGCTAATGCCTCAGTTCAGACGTCGGATCAACCATCTGTTGGCACATTTATTTGCATTCGATGTCAAGGAAAAGAAGATAGCAATGGAACTGACATGGTAAGCGTCTAAATCTTAATTATTTGTACCTTTTTTGTTTAAAAATCTCTAACTTGTCTTTTCTATTATTGGAGGCCATCGAAAGAGAGAAAGATCTCAATAGTGTGTGTAAGGACCAAACAGCTCAAATTGAGCGTCTAAACAGAAAGGTGATAGTGATTTTTCTCTTCTTTCTTTTGACGTGAGATTACAAGATATGCTTAGCCCCAAATATAGCAAGCTCACTGACTGCTTATTCTTACTGCAGCTTGAGCAATGCAAATGCATGATCGATCAAAAGAATCAACTGCCACCAATAAACGAGGATGAACCCGAGAAATCCGAATCTAAGGTCAGTTACCTCACAAGACACTTTTTCATAGTCACATAATCTATTCCTATTATTCCCTGAGACGTACTTCCAATCCTCAACAGCTCTTTTTAACCTGGAACGGTAATGAAAACCAGGAGCCGCCGCCTGAACTCATAAAAGAGAAATGCGAAATTGAAGAGATCCAAAGCTTCTCAACCTGCACCAGCCCACCACCACTCATCAGAAGATCATCGTCTGACAAACTACGGTTGTCCCTGCTGTCCCAATCTATGCAGCTAAGAAAGAGTTTTGTTAACAGCAAAGAAGAATTCGAGAAGGAGAGAGAAAAGTGGATGGAGATGGAGAGCGAGTGGATCTCACTGACCGATGAGCTGAGGATCGAGATTGAGTCAAACCGCCAGCGAGCCGAGAAGGCTGAGTCTGAATTGACTTTGGAGAAGAAGTCAATGGAGGAGCTAGACGATGCCCTTGGGAGGTCGGTCTTGGGCCACGCGAGGATGATTGAGCATTATACAGAGCTGCAGGAAAAGTACAACGAGCTGGTGGAGAAGCACCGGGCAGTGATGGAGGGGGTAGCGGAGGTGAAGAGGGCGGCTTCCAAGGCGGTCGGGAGCAAGGGTGGCAGGCATGGGGCCCGCTTTGCGAAGGCACTGTCGTCTGAGCTCTCAGCCATGAGGATGGAGAGGGAGAGGGAGAGGGAGCTGCTGAGAAAGGAGAATCGGAGTTTGAAGTTGCAGCTGAAGGATACTGCCGAGGCTGTGCATGCTGCGGGGGAGGTTCTTGTCCGATTGAGGGAAGCCGAGGAGGCTGCCAAGCTGGCTGAGGTAATAATAATTCTGCACTTTTTCTGGTTTGATTTTCCCTCTGCTGAAAATTGCTACTATGTCTCTATACAATGAAAGTGAAAGGTGCCTCCCTCGATCCTTTTTCTTTTTTTTTTTAGTCCGTCTTTGCATATTTCTCCTTCAAAAGCTTGTTCTTTGTATAACACCTTTCTGAACCAGTTTTGTAACTTGCCAAAAAAACACCTTAGGCGCTTATCATCACTTTCATCAGATAGGTGACAAATTTTATGGCTGTGCATGTTGTAGTCTACCTCTACTACTACAAATATTGGTAAATCAATAGTGTTGGTGTTTTATTCTTGTTGGTGGTTGTGAAGGAGAAAAATTTGGCGATTGAAGAAGAGAATGAGAAATTGAGGAGGCAGATGGAGAAACTGAAGAGAAAGCACAAGATGGAGATGGTCACCATGAAGCAGTACCTAGCTGAGAGCAGGTTGCCAGAGGCTGCCTTGAGATCCTCACCACTTTACCGAGAGGAAGATTCAGCTGACATGGGGCGAGCAAATGGCTCGTCATTTCCAGATGACGACGACCAGGCATGGAGGGCCGAATTTGGAGCAATTTATCAGGAGCATTATTAGCTTTTGTGTTTGAGAAAGACCCTACTCGGGTCGTTCGGTGACACAAATAATACATTGTTTGTCGTGTGATATATAAAACCGATTAATGTGGGCGAGCTAATTTCTGTATTCATTTCTTGAGAGTTTGTTGTATTAGACAATTCTATTATTTTCAGTTTGCGGTCATTGTTCCTCCCTTGCTGCAGCCGTTCATTTCGGTAACTTGCTGTCCTTACTCGGTTCTGGTTTATAATTTGTAGAATGCATAACTTAAAATAAAGTGACTGCCATGCATGTTTTAAAATAAGATTGATACTGAATAATTTTCTCATGTTAAATTTCAGCATTCGCCAGCTTTACAGTTCTAAGATGAGCCGCAATGACGGAAGATTCAATTTCCAAGCATTATGTTCTTGAAATTGAATTTTGATGCATGTTCACATTTTAGGAGAAAACTACACTCCCTTGAATACTTATCAGTACTGAAGAGACACATGAACTTATCTGCAAGGTGTTTTTTCCTTTTTTCACGTTGTCTAACTTGTGTGTGGGTTTGAGTATGAGAGAAAAAACAGAGAAAGTTGCACTGTACCAACGAAATTATGACAAAGTTGCTTGGATACTAATTATCTAGTCACTTTTAACCAATCGTTTTCTTTTTTTGTTCAACTCAAATTTAACTCAATCATATTCTCCTTAATATTATCAATATAATTGTTGACGGTTTTGAGTCGTCAACTAACTATTAAATGTAAGTTGTTGGGCGTCTAATTAAAGTGTTTGGTGAATTATAAAGACAAAATGAAAAGACAATAAGAAAACAACACACACGACTTGTCGATCGTTTAGTGGATCGACAAAGAAAAAGTGGAATTATGTATGAGTATTTGTGAGTATGGTATATTGAGTTGTGTTGTATAAGGTATTCAACATTATACACAGGTAATGTAAAAATATAATGATACCGGAGTGCCACCTTAGAGGACAGGTAAATGACATGTGTTGCCATGCAAAACCCTACTGTTGAGGACATGACGTGCATTTCGACTTTTGATGATGGGACCGGTTGGGCGGTCGTTTTATTGGTTCCTTTACTAGTTCCCATCCACATGTTGCAGAGAGATCGTCAGTGAGCATCAATAGAGAAATCGACACTCAAGCTGTTTAAAGAGATCGACAAAATGCTGAGAAGTGATCCTTGGGCCCGTTATGCCTATTCGTTGGGCCAGAATTATGGGCCCAAATGAGTTGGGACTGACATGGATTATACTTCTTTCAGGTAGTTCTAGAGGGTTTCTATACGCATATGCAACATGGGACCCCAAAGTTTTCGAGTATTTGTGAGTATGGTATATTGAGTTGTGTTGTATGAGGTATTCAACGACCCATTTATACACATGTAAAGTAAAAATACAATGATAGTGGAGTGCCTACTTAGAGGCCAGGTAAATGACATGTGTTGCCATGCAAAACCCTACTTTTGAGGACATGACGTGCATTTCGACTTTTGATGATGGGACCGGTTGGGTAGTTGTTTTATTGGTTCCTTTACTAGTTCCCATCCACATGTTGCAGAGAGATCGCCAGTGAGCATCAATAGAGAAATCGACACTCAAGCTGTTTAAAGAGATCGACAAAATGCTGCAAAGTGATCCTTGGGCCCGTTACGCCTATTCGTTGGGCCAGAATTATGGGCCTAAATGAGTTAGGACTGACATGGATTATGCTTCTTTCAGGTAGTCCTAGAGGGTTTCTATACGCATATGCAACAAGGGACCCCAAAGTTTTCGAGGTCCTGGGGATCAACAAGTCACCAGGAGATTCGAGAACTTGTTCGCATGTCTTATCACCGTAGAACCGCCTGGGGCGGTGTGTGACCTTGGATCGTCATCAAAATTTTGTAGTCATTGAAGAATGGCAAACTGAGTGTCGATATGTAATAATCTCTTCAATGAGGAGAGGGAACATCTACAAGTGCGTCTTTTTAGGAGACATGTGGCAATGTTTAGGGGTGCTGAATCGTGGCTTTTCGCATGATTCGCTAAATACTTCTTAATTTTAATATTGAAGAGTTCGCTCAAATTCCATAAATGGGTAATAAGTGCTCATTTTTTCTGCACCCTCATTCTCAATTTCTTCTTTGATGATCCTCAACAAGTTAGGGTTTGCAAACCACAATTCAAGCAGTGCTCCAACAATAATCAGGTACCTTTGGTTATCTTACTTTTCTTTTTCTTAATATTTGCATTGTGTTGGAGAGTAGCGAAGACTTCGATATGGATCTGGTGGATGCGTCATTGGAACGCGGTCAGGCTGGTCAGATAAGGTTGTTGATCGTGACGAAGAGCGGAGCTTAGGAGATTCAGGCGTGGATAGAAGAAAATTCGATAGGACCAACACCAGAGGATTATTGGAGACGACAACCTATGGAGGAGCCAATTTCGGCGAGATGTAAGTCTTCCATAAAGTAAGAATTTTGAAGGACGCGAGATAATTAAGTTGAGAAAAAAAATTGAGAATACCTTCACCCGTAAAGATATTCGTGTCGTATAAGGGTGAGTGGATCCATTGTCCACCATCGGGATGTGTTGTCGGATGTAGGGAGTCAATAGTTTCGGGTTTAAGATTTCTTCTTCCCCAAATATTTTTAAAATATATAGAATCGTGGGGTTCGGCTTGAGTCACATCCATCCAAACACCTAGTATTGACTTTGTTCACTTATTGCACTTTTTAAGAAGGGGTGGTCAGGGGTGGTCAGTACCAGGTTACAAAATTAAAAAGCATTGCATTGACAATCTCATACGAAATCTCATACCCCAATGAAGAAAATTCTGAAAAAAAAAAAGAAATTTCAGAAAGAAAAAAGAAAAGAAATTCTCCAAATAAATTTTGGGTATATTCAATTGCGACTTCTAAATACTTTTTAAAACTTTCGACCCCAAGAAAAAAAAAATACTCAAAATATGAACCTAAGGTATTTTTAGCAAACTAATTTGATGAAATTCAACAAAGGGTAAAGTAGTGTGTATTCTCCATCAATTGATACGCATAAATAAAACATTAAAAAAAAAAAATCACCAAAAGCCCAAAACTGGCTTTTTATTTCATACATACAAACACAAACATCCATGCCAATAGGAAAACCAAGTTTTCTCTCAAAAACATAAAAATCCCATCCATTTTAACGTTAGTACAAGAAACAATAGTAGCTCATAAACACAAGTACAAATGAGCCTAAATCACGTAATCCGACCACTCGGATATGTGCGAGGTGTGGTCCATAGTGAGGCTCGGGATGTGATCCAACATGATCGGCCTCGCCTTTCCCCCAATCAACTTGGCCGGGTTACCCACAACCGTCGTCCTAGCCGGGACCCGCTTCAGCACCACGGACCCCGCCCCAACCTTAGCCCCATCCTCAATCCTCACGTTCCCCAACACGCAACTTCCCGCCCCAATCAGAACCCCATCCCCGATTTTCGGGTGCCTCTCTCCCGAGTCCTTCCCGGTCCCACCCAAGGTCACGCCGTGCAAAATCGACACGTTGTCCCCAATCACGGCCGTCTCCCCAATCACCAGCCCAGTCGCGTGATCCAGCATTATACCTCTCCCGATTTTCGCCCCCGGGTGGATATCCACCGCGAAAACCTCCGAAACCCTGTTCTGTATCAAGAGGGCCAGGATCTGCCTCCCCTGGGACCACAGATGGTGCGCTATCCTATGAGCCTGGCAGGCCATAAACCCTTTGAAGTTGAGAAAGCAGTGGACGTAACTGAGGCAGGCGGGGTCTCTTTCCTTGACAGCCCTCAGGTCATCATTAACGGCGCCGATTATATCTCTATCGGCGGTCAGGATGCCGAGGAAGAGATCGTAGAGAGTGCCGCTGGGCAAGCTGGAGTCGCTGAGCTTCATGGAGAGGTATTCGGCAAGGGCGCTCTCCAAAGAATCGTGAGATAAGATGGAATTGTAGTAGTAGCCGGAGAGGATCGGCTCCTGATCCACGTCCGACCTGGCTTCCTCCATCATCTGCGCCCACAAATCGCCGCCCCCCTTTTCGATTTCAGGGTTATCGGAAAGGGAATTTTTCGGCATGGAGGTGGAATCGGGCGGGTTTGGGCGGAATAAGTACCGGACGTAGCCGTCGACGGTCGGATTGTTTTCTGGAGGGGCTTCGGTGCCGGAGGAGTGGACGCATGTGGCCATGGCGGCGGTCGGCGGTTTGGCGGAGGGTTTGCGCTGGAGTAACAGTGCGGAGGGTAGAAAGATTGTGGACATGGAAAACGAAGAAAACAAGACCACGAGTGGTGGTGGGAGAGAATGCACGGCGGAGTGGAGAGAGATTTATAGAGAGAGGGGCTGATGCCTGATGAGACTCACTCACATAATTTGGTTTAATCGAAAATGAAAAATTGGAGATAAATTTTTGGAGAGGAAAAGAAGAAAAACAAGAGAGACGATGAGGAAGACATTATGGGAGCGTGTAAAGCTGCAATTGGTAGAGTGATAAATTCTTTTTTTTTTTTTGGTGCAAAAAGCGACAAAATTGTATTTTTAGTTCTGCTGGTTTAAAGT